TCCATCCTCTCGCCCATGAATCCTACTTATTTTCCAACATCCCTCAAAAAACGTCCCGATATCCTGGACATATTTATCACCTCCCAGATTTCCTCCTCCCAAACTATAATCAAATCCCTGGATGACCTTTCTTCAGACCATAGTCCAGTTCTGCTTTCACTACATTCTGACTTTGCTCCTAAACCATCACTTCCTAAACTGATCACTGGACGAGTAAACTGGGACAAATTTCGTGATGATTTGGAAAACAAACTCGACCTCAAAATCCCGCTAAAGACAAAAGAAGACATTAATTGTGCCATAGAAAAACTGACATCATCAATAACAGACAGTATAAATAATAACACATTTATCAATAAGATTAACTTCCCACAAAATACTAACTTGCCACAGCATATTCGTATCTTATTACAGGAAAAACGCAGAGCAAGATCGAAGTGGCATAGGACTAGATACCCAACAGATAAATCGCATTACACCCAACTGACTAACAAACTGAAATCAGAAATAAGAAAATACAAAATTCAAAATTTACTAAATTTTACTGAAAAACTTTCAACCACTGACAAATCATTATGGATGACCACCAAAAAACTTCTTAAGTTTCAAGACTTTAATCACCCACTACTTACTGATTCCCAAACCTGGTCCAAATCCGACGAAGAAAAAGCCCAACTATTTGGTCAACATCTCTTCCAAACTTTTAACCCACATCCCGATATCCTTAATTCGACTCACATCAATTGTATTGAGGCAGAACTGGATATTCCTCTCCAAATGTCTCTGCCACCCAAAGCATTTCATCCCATAGAAATATCCAACATCATTCAAAAATTGCCTTCCCGTAAAGCTCCTGGACATGATCTAATTACATCCCAGATCCTAAAACTTCTTCCTCGAAAAGCCATCCTATTCCTTACTTACATATATAATGCTGTACTCCGTTCTACATATTTTCCTGATCCTTGGAAACGATCTATTGTTAAAATGATCCACAAACCCAAAAAACCACCAGAATACCCATCCTCTTACCGTCCTATCTCTCTTTTACCCATCATGGGCAAGATCCTAGAAAAACTCATCTTAAAACGCCTGTACCCTATCCTAAATTCTAAACACATAATCCCAGATCACCAATTTGGTTTCCGAACTTCCCATTCCACTATACAGCAATGTCATCGTGTGGTAGACGTAGTATCCTCTGCATTGGAGCGCGGAATGTACTGTACGGGAGTCTTTCTCGACGTTGAACAGGCGTTTGATAGAGTTTGGCACCCGGGACTGCTGTACAAACTCCGAAAATTCCTACCACCTACATACTTCCTCATTATCCGTTCTTACCTTACTGATAGATACTTTAAAGTAAATCACAATAACGCCTATTCATCCCTTTTTTCCCAGTCCGCTGGTGTTCCTCAAGGTAGTATCCTAGGTCCTATCCTCTATACAGTTTATACAGCTGACATCCCAACCCATCCCAACACTGTCATCACCACGTATGCCGATGACACATGTATCCTATCAGTAAACAATGACCCAGCAATTGCATCCCAAATGCTTCAATCACACATCATAAATCTAGAAGAATGGTGTCAAAACTGGAGAATTAAAATAAACTCCAATAAATCCCACCAAATTACCTTTACCCTTCGTCGTAAACCAACGACTTCCTGTCCTACAGTTTCCTTTAACAATACTCCACTTATCCCTGTTGAGCAAATCCGATACCTAGGACTCCACCTGGACAAACGACTAACTTGGAATCCTCATACTAGACTGAAACGACAAGAAACCGCTCGACGTTTCCGATTACTTCAGCACTTACTAGACAAACGCTCTAAACTTCCCATTAATTACAAAAGACTCATATACTTGACTATAATAAGACCTATTTGGACTTACGGAGTTGAGCTATGGGGCTCCACTAAACCATCGAATTCCTCTCGCATCCAATCCTTACAATCCAAAATCCTTCGTAAAATCCTCAATGCTCCTTACTTTGTCACTAATAAAATTATCCATAAAGATCTTAATGTTCCTTATGTTTCAGATCTGGCCCAATCCAGATACCTATCCTTCCATAATAAACTTCAGAATCATCCCAACCCTCTCGTTTCTAACCTTGCTTCCTCTTCAATTCCTGATAACCCTCCGAGGCGTCTGAAAAGAAGATGGCCCCGTGATCTCCTAATGTAGTCATATCATTAGAGTGCTACCATTGGGTAGTTACTCAGCAAGTGTATTCATGTCATTATATCAATTATGTTCAAATTTACTTGATGTATTTATGTAATACAGTTGTAAATGTCATAAAGAAATAAAAAAAAAAAAAAAAAAAGGTTTGTATATGGGCCGGATGTGACAGTAACTTTTTCGTTAAAATCGGCTAACCGGAAGTGCCACTTTATATAAACGCTGAAACACATTTTTAAAATGTTCTCAAAAATGGCTCTAACGATTTTGATTAAACTCAGTGTATCATTGTATAATTAAGTGGTCTTTAATATCATTTAGGTCTTATCCCCATTGATGTCACTTTACAGGGCTTAAATGACCAATGTTCATATGAATCTTCCTCTAAAGTACCTTTAATATGGTTTATTTTAAATAATCAATTATTTTAAGTTTACATTGGTTACCTAATAGTTGATTTATGCTTAGTTCTTGTATTGAGATGTTTGTGTAGATCGTTTAGGTAAAATAAGGGATTGATTGTCATGTTGACGAGTAGTTGCTATTAAAAATATTGTAATTATTTGTATTTTATGAATATTTCAAATATATATATATACAACCTAGACACTGATTGAGTTACAGGGAATTAGTTTGTTCTGATAAACACTTAGTATTTCAGTTGCTCTTTAGACTTAGGCTGGGACAGCCGCAATAATACGTACTCCGCTTGGTTTAACAGATAAGATTTTTCTTTTATTATATTACATTTATTTATTTGTTTCTTTTTACTTAAATTCTTAAATTTTACTTTAGTGCGGTATTGCATTTTTTCTCTGGAATTTACATTATTTTTTATTTAAATATATTTTGATTGAAATATGTGGGAGTCCTCGGAACATTCTGAACTCTCTAGTCCTTTATAAAAAAAAAAAAAAAAAAGAAAATCGGCTCGGAGTCGGATTAAATTTCCTCCCGACAAAATTATTCCTCAAAAAACACAAAATGGAATACCCACGTATTTAGTGGCCAAAAGAGGGGATACAGAAGACTTTAAAAAAATTTCTCCATTTTTTATACACAAAAATATTTCAGGTTTGGTGGGAAACGTAAAAAAAAATAAGAGACTGTTCTTTGTTAACAAAAACAGTAAGTGTGCACCAGACAAACAAACTATTATCCATAACGGCTTTCGATCCTTATCCAGTATACAGTGGCTTAATAATACAGTGTGGTCATACGGATGGGGCGGCCATATTGGATCGGCAAGAAACTAATATTTGAATAGCCTCTCTTTGTTATTTCAATTAAAAAAGTAATTATTGTAACAAATTATTAACCAGAATGGTTTGGGAGATATAATTGGAGTTGGACAAGTTGAATGAAGCATAAGAATCACCTATATCACGCGAAAATAAATAATAAAATCAAAGAACAATATTTGTTTTTTTTTCTATTTAACTTCTTTTAAAATATATTCCAATAAACTTCGGCATATTTCGATTTCCATTTTATTCACCTAACTCTGTCATTGGCAAATTTTATAAATAAATATATAAAATTATTAAAACATTAAACAAAAACTGAGTGAAAAATAACTTTCATTGGAAAACCTGAAACTCAATTCTAAGTCAGCAACCATGAAACTATTTTTATTTTTCTTCTTAAATTCTCCTTTGAAAAAAACAAAACTTTAAATAAATGTAAATTATTTAATAAATATAAATTATTTAATAAATATGAATTATTTAATGTAAATTTAATAAATATAAATTATTTAATGTTAATTAAATAAAAATAAATTATTTAATGTAAATTTAATAAAAATAAATTATTTAATATGAATGATTTAATGTAAATTTAATAAATATAATTTATTTATTTTTACTTTGTTATTTCTGACTGAACATCCCAACTAGTGTTGCCCAAATGCGGGACCAAGAAGAGTCTTGGTCTTGGTCTTGCACAAGAGTCTCGCAACAATCTTGCAGTTATCAATTAGGTTGTTTTCATAGAGGCACTACTGTAATTTTTCAGAAATGAGGAACTTAACTAAGCCCTAATGAAAAATTGGAAGAGTTAAATGCAGAAGTATATTGGTTATATCAATTCTTTACATATAGTAACTGATTTTGTCAAGTTTTAGTCACTATTTTACCATTATTTTTATTCACAAAAACGGTTGGTTTTTTTACCAGTCTTGGTCTTGGAACAATCAGGCGGCATTAGTTTTGGTCTTGCAAAGTACATGAACAAGACTGAGTTTGGGAAACACTATTATTGCAAATATAAATAATTCAAAATTTGATCCTCGATCAATAGAATCATTTCTGATCATTGAAAATAAAATATTTTTTTAAAAATGGTTTACCTCTTACCATAATTTACATGTTGTATATTGCAGCTGAAGTAGAAAAAAATTGATCACTTTACTGTTAAACCTCTGTTAAGAGACGGTAGAAGAGTTTTTGTGTTTCAGAGTGGTATAACTTAGTTTCTGTATAAAATATTTTTTTGAAATGGTTTACCTCTTACCATAATTTACATGTTGTATATTGCATCTGAAGTGGAAAAAAAAAGATCACTTCACTGTTAAGCCTGTTAGAGGTGGTAGAAGAGTTTTAGTGTTTCAGAGTGGTATAACTTAGTTTCTGTATAATTTGAAATTTTCTATTTACCAGTCAATGTCAATATAACTCTTATCAATGAAGTAGATTAATAATCATGATATGATAAATTGTAATAATGTTTGTCACTTCTGAATTCTCCATTAGTCCAGAATCTAAGCTTTTTATTTTATTTTATTTATTTTTCATTACTTTTTACAGAAATCAAAGGTTGGTGACTGTTTTCAATTTTATCACACAGGATGTATCAAGTAAAAAAAAAACAGAAGAGTGAAATAGAACATTTTAAGGATAAAATACAAGCAATTATCAATTGATTAAAGAACAAACCAATTTAACTTAAAAAAGAAAAATTTTAATCAACAAAGGGATACAAAAAAAAAAAAAAAGATAAAACAGACAATATTTATTTATATACAAAGCAAATGAAGTTTATAAATGCTGCACATATATGTTAACAGATTTGGAACTAAAAATAGACCTATGGGGAAAATTCTTGTTACTAATTGAATTAATCTTAAGTCTAAATACAATATATCTCTTAACAATACTATTTTTAATATTGTGACAATCGTTCTGCACGTATGTGTTCTGCATCAACAGAACTCATTTTTTCTAACAAAAGTGATTTTAAATCACCTTTAACAAAATTTATTTGGTTCCAATAGGTTTGGAAAATGCCTTCTAATTTTAAAATCAACTCAAATGTATTTTCATTACAAAAAAAAAAAAAAAAAAAAATGGTGTGGTTTTTAAATTGTTTTAAAATTGTAAATTTTTCATATGCTAAGCCATATGGTGTATAGCCTCCTAAACTTTCTATACATGTTTCACACCATTTAGAGTTTTTTTTAAATCTTGATATTAGGTACCCACTGAGACAGTAGAGAGAGCTTAATTCTATATTACTTAAATTTGGTTCTCTGACAGGTACGTCTACGATTCCGGCAGGTTGCTTAAACCTATCTGGCATTCCTTTTTTTTTTTTTTATCGAATCTATAAAATTGACAAAATCCTTTCTGTCATCGATTTCATAATATCATGAACTAATATCTTTCATATACTGTGACATCATTATGAGTTTTAAGTTTGCTTTAAATTGCAAAGCATTTGGGACTATTTGCCTTGCCCTAACTAAACTAAAAAGGTTTTCTAGGCAGTCTTGGGTAACCCGACCAGTTAGAACAAAGCTATAGTTCTGGTCATTCAACAAATACTCTTGAATATTCAGAATAGATGTAGAGGATATTAACACTCCTTTTTGGCAGGGCTTCCAGATTTCTTTAAAGCCTATGTTAATATTTTGAAATAAATCAATGAAATCATTTAAAAATTTGATTGCCGCTTTATAAGCATCTTCGTCATATTTGCTTAGTGCAAAAACTACATGGCGAGAGGTCATAAGTTTAAACGACTTCTCCACCATGTCCAAAAACCATGCAGTTGTCAGGTATTCTGGTTTTTTTAATTCATCGGCCAAAAACTTGAGACCGCTGCTAACTGAATGGCTTATAACATGTGTTGCTGAAGCAACTTTCATTGATTGAAAATGGGAAGGAGCCAAATCTTCCTCATGCAATTTCGGGGCTAATTTGAAATTTAATTTTTCCTGGCAATCGAATAGTTCTTTAATATGATTTGATTCCACAAGATTATGTTGCACATTACTTTGTCTTAAAATGTATTCTGGGATTTCTATGACTTTATTGTTTAAAAGTGACATCCTAATATTTTTGAATAAATGGACAAATCTTGTATAATGAAAATCTTCTTTTGGGAGTTATTAGGGCATTGAAAAAAATGTTGTGTAAGCGCATGTCTTCCAGCTGTAATACCAAATGCCTTCCAAAATGACTGGTTTCGGTCAGAGGTAACACATATTACATTCAAACCTATTTCATTACATTCATTAAAAATTTGCTTTATCAAACTAGCCAAATAATCTGCATCTATAGATTCTCCGGTAAAATGGTAAGCCACAGTTTGCTTCCACCGGCAACCGTAAATACTAACGCATATGTTGCAAATGTTAAAGGTTGATCTGAAATTGTTGTTAAACCGATGTAATCATTGATTGTACAATCAAAAGTACGCCCAGGCCTTATTGCCATTTCATCTAAAATGGGAAAGCAGTATTTTTCTCTCTCATCATTAAAATTTTCCATTTTAATTTTTAAAAAATCAAACATCATTTAATATCCCTGGGCGAAAGTCAATGCTTTCCACCCTCCTTCTCAAAGTTTGCTGAGATGGAAGAGGAAAATTTTGAGCGATAAGTTCATCATACCCATTACTTCCGCACGTGAACTTAATTTTTAATGCTGTTTTTATTGTTTGATTATCCCATTTTGTTTTTGATTTCACTGTATCTTTCATTAGTGCTTTGATTTAATTATTATTAAAAACTTTTTTCAAACATTTTAAATATACATTTTCTTCTGTTTTTTCAAAGTGTTTTTCATTATTCTTAATTTAACTTTAAGACTATTATTTTTGTCCATTATTTTATTGTATGCTTTATTATATGATTTTATCCGAGTTTTAAGTTCCTGTCGTTTGATCTGAGGACGTAAAGTAGGTGAAGGAGCATAGGATGTTGAAGAAGTGGAACTTGTTGGGATGTCCTTTGTTCTCTCAATTGCAGCAGTGCTGGGATCAATAATAGAGCATATCTAAAAAAAAGCAACATAGTATAAGAGGGATATATTGAAATGTCAAGTAAATTTTGATAATATTACCATGTCAGTATCAATATATGCAGTTTGTGTGAATATTTTTATTATTAAGAAGGAAATAAATAGCCCAGTGTTATATCATGGTAAAGAGCAACTGATATTTTCAAAGCATAATAGTTATGAATTTAAATTATGAAAGCCTTTAAAATTCAATGAAAAATTTAAAATTTTACCTCAGCTTTCTGTAACATGATATAAAAACACTTTTTTCCTTACGATAGGAATTAATTTTTCAATTGCATGATATACTTTTTTTCTTTGCTCATCATATATCACTAAAATTATGTTTTAACTGATTTTCACATCCAAACTGCAATACCTAATATTGACCTATTTTATCGATTTCTATAAAAGTGAGTGGCCAAAAACATCAAAAATGTAATAAATATGAAGAATGAAATTTGAGAACTATTACAATACTTTTATTAAGTACTATCTTCTGAAGACATAAATGGCATTTCAAGTACTGTTCAAAAATTTCCAAACCAAATTTAATAATTTTACTATATCAAGGGCCTGCACTAAGTATGGGTGTTTCGGATTTTCAACAAACCAATTTAAGACTTTATTGTAAAGTAAAATTTTTAGAACAAATTAAATTATTGCACTCTGATTTAATGATGACAAATTGAAATTGACAGCATAAGAAATAAATAAATAACAAATTAACTATGTAGTTAAGGAATGCATCAGAAATATGAAAGTTTATATATCACTATGAATCATTATAAATTCTAAAAGGCATTCTCATAAAACATAAACTTAAAAAATTTAAAGGTGTAGCCAGGTTTTTAACAGTTGCAGCTTAAAAACCTCACTTAAAAGATATGAAAATCAAATTTCATACTCACGTTGATAATTACAAACAATAAATAAGGATATTTTCAGCCAATTATGAATTTGTTTGAATTGGAAGATTTGACTCCCTATCAAAATTGTTAACTAAGTTTGGAAAACCTATTACTTGTCTAGGAATTCATTATGTAAGCATGAAATTAAAACCATATGAACTAAAATTGATAGAGAAATTTTCAAGCCTTGGAAACCGTCTCATACTAAAACCTTTTCAGTGCTATTGAAGCATCCAAAAGCACAGCAATAGACCATCTTAAATAAACAATAACAGTTTTAGAACTTCAATTATTAGAAAAAGTAATTACTTACTGCTTAATTACTTTCTTTAAGTAATTACTTGATAAATAATTCATTTAAATTCTTTTGCAGCACAACAATCTATTTCTTAAAAATTGATCATGATAAGTATATTTATTCTGCTATAAAAGAACACTACTTTTAGTTACTTGAGATCTCAATTAAGCTAAGGATCATCAACTAAACTCATATTTTAAGTATTGAAAGTAAGAATAACTATAACAGAAAAACCACACTTTAATTTTATACCACAAATCACAGACTCCAAAATCAAAATTGTGTTAACCTAGAAACATCAAATTATAGATATCACCTTCATATAAACAAGTTTCAAAATTGATTTCCATTTCTTTTTCTTTCATTACCTCTGAATCACAAAGGAAAATTGATAAAATAAAGTAAAAAATTAAAGTATACTCACGCCTATGAAGATGACACCAACACTACCTCTTGAAATACTAAAGCCTATAGCTTTTCAATAAAAACAACCTATTGATAAACTAAATCTATCCCTTAAACAACAAAATTAAGCTTCTGAACTAAAATATTAATATTTAACAGTTTTGAGGTTCCTATAGAGCAAACAGGTAGTAAGGGACGATCCAAGATGGCCAATCAATCAGAAATCGACTCCATATGACCGCACTGTATTATTAAGCCACAGTACCCAGTACAGATAACACCACATAATACTCTCAACTACAGTAAAGGATTAATACGTTGTTTTGATTTCTAATACATGGAAATAGACGAACTTAAAACAGAATTAGAACCACTAATCAAAGATATAGTTAGAATAAAATCTAAAACTAACGGAAATGAAATATTAACACTCAATTATATAGTAATTGTCCCTACCCCCTAATCACCACAAACTTTTCAAATTGGTCACGAAAAAGTCAGAGTTCAACCTTATTCGTTTTTGTCCGAGAGTCTGTGAGAAAAAATCGGAATTATTTGATTAAGACTTTAAAAGAATTTTTAAAAATATTTATAACATTTATATTTAAAAAAATGAATCTGCCAGTCGGATGTAAAAATGGCGGCTGATGTAAAGAGTAGACCATTTATTTGAATTTTTATTTGAAAAGTTTTTATTTTTTAACTTGTACATAAGTGTTCAGATATGTAAAAAACAGGACCATGAGGTATCAAAAACAAAACAAATTTCATGAAGAAATAACGAATCACAATTCGAGAAATGAAATTGATCTATGTTAAAACTGTTAGTATTCAGTAGACGCGGAATTTGATGCTCTATAACTTTTATTCTATGAGATTTTCTCTTCGGGAACTCACGAATTTGGTAAAAATCGGCGTTTGTTGACCGTGGTCAACGAACATACCACTTAACCAAATTCTTAAGTTTAGGTACTTGTTCGACGCACAATTTAACTTTATTTAATTTTTTAAAGAAAAGGTTTTTCGCTTTGTTGCACCGTTTAGGAACTATAGATGAAAAAAACAAAAATAGATCGAACTAATCTGGCTTTTTTGGCTAGAAAATGTTTTTCCTTGATGATCCGCGGCAACGATTTTGTTTTTACATGTCTCACCCAATACAGGTTAAATAAATAAAAACTTTTCTCACATTTTTCGCAATGAATTTTCCGTTTTGATTCTCAAGATACTGGTCCAATTTCATTAAATACGCCACAAGTTTTACAGGAAGTAAGATCCGACTGGCAAACTCACAATTTTTAAAAATAAAGATTTAAAAATAAAAATATTCAAAAAATGCTTTTAAAATTTTCATCAAATAATGTAAATTTTTTCTCATGGGCTCTTGGACTATTTGGGTTGCTAGCAATT